TTAATTGAGACGGTGTTGTCTAATACGTAAAATATATAAATGACATTAAATTATCGAACGAATAAGTCGTGGCGTTTGAAATTTCTGACTTAATGGTTTTCTAAAGTGCGTATAAAAGTAAAAATGTCTCGAAATTGTTCCTTTGTAGTCTGCAAAATTATAAAAAGTATTACACTTTGAAGAACGAAAGAATAGTTGTGTTGTCCTAATCGGATGAAATACCTCAATAATTTATTTTTAGAAATTATGACCTGATAGAGGTTCCATTTTTTATTTATATTGTTTATTTCCATTTCATAAATTTCATTTGATAGCGAGCTCGTGAAAAATAAAACAACTAAATACACAAATTAACGCGATATTCTCTCTAATAGAAAGAAATAATGAATGCAAATGATCTGTATGCTAAATAAAACGGTACAGAAGCCACGTCTTCCAGCACTGGTACCACTGTTAAAATGAATTTACAGGGAAAAAAGTACTTTTTCTTTATAAAACTGTTATTGGGATGTGGCACTTGTGTATTCCTCTGCAGGAACTTATAAATAGCTACTGAAACTAATTTCAAATGAACTCAAATAACTAATGGTATTTCACGAATTGTGTTAATTCTAACTCAATGAATAGCAAGAGAATGTGTGAGAATGTCCAATCCCATAATAAATTTGTATTCGTCTTCTTTCAAAAAACATTTTCTCAAGTCTTCTGAACTGATGGTGTGTGAACCTTCGCATAGTTCTCCGAATTTCACTAACAAGTTTTCTCCCAGAAAATAATCTTCTCTTTCAAACTTGTCTTGCTGATTCGGTTTTCGAACATAACGTTCGGTTATGAGAGAGAATATTCAGATGTATAAATCAGTCCTTGTCTCAAGTTTTTCTATTTCTCCAAATTTATGAAGACAACACAACATGTGCAGCATCAAAGGACATNTTAATTACAGATGTAGTTACAACAAAATATTTTAGAAATTAAAATTGTAATGATGAATCTCTGTATGTCTAATGTAAAGACACGCACTTACCATTCTTTTCTTCATTTTCTTTCTTTAAGCGACTTGCATTCGGGTCTTCAGAATGAATTTCTATTTTTGGACCAATATGGACTTGTGTACAGCCCTTGAGCATCGGTGGAGATCGATTACAATTTTCCACTGAAATTATTTATTACTTTATAAGTTTAACCTAATATCAGTTACATGATAGTAAAAATTAAGCTATGTAATTATATATTGAGAAAGATTTTTCTGCTCCAAAAGAATCTCTAAAGAAATATATTAAAATATAACAATTTAATGTCAGCAAATTATTGTCTTTTTCTGAATAGAACAATTTATGTGAATTTCGGTATTTTTATTTTTGGCATATTTATTTTTAAAACTCTGTCCTTATATATTAAAATTGAAAATAATAGTTATTTCCAATGATTATCTTCCTCTTCAGAAAATAAAATGACAAATGTTAAACAAGTTTAAGACTTAAACAATTCTTTATTCTATCAACAATACAACTGATCCAATTTTAGGCCCTATTAGTAACTTACAAAGAAAAGCGTATAGCCAGAAACAAATGAATTTTTCAGAATTTCTTCTATTATAACAACGAAAAAGTTTCATTTATAAAATAAGAAATACAAAAACACTTACCATTTAATAGTTCTTTAATTATATTTTTATTCTGCCTCACTGCATACGCTGCCTGTTAAGTAACATACATATATATACATTATTCTTTTGTAATCAGTTTGCAGTACAGTAATAAAAAGCTAAATTAATAATATAAACTGTATTTCATATTAAGGCCTCACTGTAACGTGTTGCTATATAAGGAACCATTCTGATCATTTAATAGTTCATAAGAAGATTTAATTATTAAGTTCTAGCTAATAATTTACTCGCATAAGACATTTACTAACATAAGCTGTTTTTGACACGGAACATTTTAACAAACACTGTTTGAAATTACAACAGATCAGCAACTAAAATCAAGTATATGCCAACAAATGTTTTAGTTTATCATCCTTATTCAATAAACCAGATTTAAATGGTGAATAAAAGGTTTGGAAGCTGTATATATTATTATTGATTCTATTAAATTTTGTATGTGAAAGGTCAAAAGGTTTGAGAGATTAAAGAATAATCACGTTTAATATCTCAAGAAAAATCAAACTCAATGAAGATTTTACTTGTTAGCAATTGGTACGGTTTTCTGCGATTTTGAATAATAAAAAGTTACTCTGTTCCAAAACATAATGCACAAGACGATAATACTACGAAATATTCATGAAAGCTGTTGTGTTTTTCTTATTTCAAATTCAGTTTTGTTAGTAATACAATTATTATTTATTAATTATTATTGTTATATTATCTTAAATTAGTTAAAATTTAACGTAATTAAACATTATTAAAGTAACATTATCTATTATTTTTGAAAATCGTTGTTTTCTATTTGACGGCCAAATTGCCTAACGTTGTTTTATCGCTCTGGCATATCCGGAATTGGATCCGGGCGAGAAATACCAGGAACTTTTCGGGGGTGCCCTGTGAAGAATTTGTCGGTCTCTATTCCTCACTATTTGACCGTCCTATTGCGGACAAATCCAATACATAACGAGCTTGATAAAATCACCTCTTAGTGCCAACAAGGCAGAAAGAGTGAAAGAAAAAAGAAATCATTGCTTTTTATGTCTTCTATTTTATATATTTTTAAAATAAATGCAGATCATTAAAAAGTAAATATTATATTTTTGCATAGCATCAATATCTTAAAATAAGTGTCTTGAAATGTGAAACTGTGTAAAAAATTTTGCAAGTCAGAAAGAGAAACATTTCATCTATACGCCTATTTTTACAGCAAATGCGCGTAAACAGCAAACACAGCAAGCCTAAATATTATGTAATATAGCATATTTATAACTGGATATTATTTTCAATTTATGCGCTTATTACACGTGCTCACCATGAAATTCTGATTTACCCTACTTAGTTCTTAGTAGTTAAAAACATTTTTTTACATTTAACATCTAATATTTATGCAGTTACATATTTAAGTTTCTTGCACAATTAAACAAAATGTTTTAGTCACTATAAAATTATCAATATTATTTAATTTAAGTAAACCTATAATTTAGATTAAAACGAAATTTATTTTGCAGGCTTACATTTGCAACTTGTTTGTGATTAACTGACGAAACCACGACAATCTTCTCCTCACTTGAAACTTCTTCTTTTGCCATTTCACTGTTCTCCTCACTTGGAACTTCTTCTTTTGCCATTTCACTGTTCTCCTCACTTGGAACTTCTTCTTTTGCCATTTCACTGTTCTCCTCACTTGGAACTTCTTCTTTTGCCATTTCACTGTTCTCCTCACTTGAATCTTCTGCTTTTGCCATTTCACTGTTCTCCTCACTTGAATCTTTTGCTTCTGACATTTCTTTAATTCAACCTAATTATTTCTGTGTAAAATATAAACATTTGACGCATTTATTTATTTCATTTCAAATCTATTGAAATGTGATTTTAAAATTAACATATAACTATTTACATTACAGTAACAGTAGAATATAACTGTATGTAAACAGGACTTCATATGAAAAATGATGCAGTAGTCGAATTCTCTTGCACAGAGAGACATAAATAATTTTTTAACACTAGAGTATTATTGTAATCTGTACATACTGTATAGATATTAAGGCTAAACAATACTTTCATGATATAATTCTACGTTTTATACATTAATAGATCTTGGAAATTTACATTTGACAGAAAGTCTGTGTAAATTATATTTATTAATTTATGGACGATGTTCAAAAAATAGCATTTTAAAGCTCACGTTCTGTAGATGTGTATCGTCTCGAATCATGGCTTTTCTGCAGAGTTGAGGGTTTAAATTTTTATTAGAGCCATTTGATCGTTGACATGTAAAACTCAGTAAAACCTAAAATTTATTATACAGTAAAACGTTTATAGGAGCAACAAAGAACAATTAATACTACATGTAATAACTTTTTCTCTTGTAAAAGCTCATTATATGTATTAAAATATGTTATTAAGATGATTAACTACTAATTAAACTCAGAAACAGAAAGAATGTTCACCATATCAATGGTAACCAATACCAATCGACTGCACTTAATTTTGATGTCAATAGGTTATATTAAAGAAGATATTTCCTCAAAAAATTGATGAAACTTCATGGGTTAATTCCACAGAAATAATCGCCGCTTTTTGCCTTGACCGCATTTATTCAGAGACAAAAGCTTATTTTCGTGTTCTTTATTTACTTTTGTCTCTGATTAAATGCGGTGCAAGCAAAAAAAAACGGTGGTTATTTCTGTGGAATTAACCCATGAAGTTTTATCAATTTTTTGAGGAAATATTTTCATTGAAAAAATTGACATTTTAAAAGAATATAAAGAAAATCACACTATTGATATAATACGTATCTAATACTTAGAGGTTATATTAATTTATAAAACAAAACCCAAACAGTTTTTAATATGTTTAAGACACTTGAATTCAGTGAACTTTATACTTGCTTTTACGTGAGTTTAATGTTTTTTTTTTTCCTTTTTTCGTGTGTATTTGATAATCACCTTATATTTAACGTATTGTAAAAACACCAGTTAAAGTGAATTATTTGATAATTCATTAAACTACAAGACGAAGTTGACAGTTTTTAACTCTTATATAATAGTTACGTAAAATCTATAATTGTCTTTTTGGCTTTTGCAATAAGAACATAACACAATCGAAACCTAAGATAGATAGAAAATCCTGAACACTTTCAAATTTCTCCGCACTTATTATTAATTCCAAATTTTGAAAGCAATGTGTTACGAAATATAGTATTTAGCAATGTAAACATTCGTGTTTGACGTAGGGTATAAATAACGATAGAAATATCATCATCATTTTTATTCACAAAGAGTACAACAACTAAATATAACATATTTTTGGCACATTATTTTACTGGAAAACTACTATTTACAAACCTGTAACGCTTCAAACAATGCATAAATGTTTCAAAAATCAATTTGAAACCTAGGAAATATGTATACAAACATAATTATTTATTTTTTAAATAAGTTATAATATCACAAAAATGTTTCAACCGACGACTCACAACGTTTAACAATTCATTTTATCTACTTCAATATGTTAAAATTCGTCACTGATAAATACGTGTAATATCATAGAGGTTAAACCATTCTTTCATAGAAAACTTACTATATATTTTACAAGAATTCTATATTATTGCACATTTTAATTTCAGTTTGCTGGCAGACTGAAATAATATACGATCGCGTAAAGTTTCGTATTGCTCCAATGAGAGGATGTAACTGTTAGATTCTTCCAAATCGTCGACAGTTTCCAATGCAACTAACTTCTCGTTTTCACTTATTTTTAATAATTTCCGGATTTCAAACGAATTCAAATTGTATTTTACATTTGTGAACCTATCGAAATAATTACTCATATAATAATTTACGCCAATAAAATAAATGTCTACGTTAATTACGTTCATTACTTGAAAGAATTCGATAATGCCTGAGATAGGTTCTCTAATATCGTATAAATTATTCGAAAACGTTTCCTGAAGTAAGAGAATAAGATAAATCTTTAAATTATTGGTGTAACTCCAGTAATTCGAAAAGTAATTTACGTAAACATCCCGTTTTACGTATTTTCCTTTGGTATCAAGGAAATGTAGGTAAATTTCTTTGAATTCGTATAAGTTAAATAGCTTTTGATATAAAATCAGGAATTCCCAATAATAAAATATTACTTTTGAATGAAAACAAAATTGTTCCCAATTTCTTTTCAGTTTGATTTGTTTATGAGAGCTGAGCATAAATTGAGGCAAGAACATTTCTGTGTCTACATATGATAAAAACTTTTTGGGTAAAGGTTCATCCTTATTTAATCCCATTAAAAATAACAACTCCATATTACTAGTACAATATGGAAACGAAATATAACCGATATATACACATAAAGCTGTAAGAAATTCGCCAAATGTCCGATGAACAAAACTGTATCGGATGATATTATCGCATTCAGAAAAGGAATCCAGAGTAAGAATGTCTAGTCCAGTAATGAAATTGTGTTCATCTTCATTTGGAAATAAAGCCACCAAATCTTGTGATGTGATAACATCTTCGCCTCTCTCTAATCTTCTTAATTTCAGTAGCAAATTTTCTCCCACAAAATATTTTCCTCTTTTAAATTTACGTTTTTGATTAGTTTTTCTCACATAACGTTCAGTTATAAGAGTAAATATCCTAATGTATAAATCAGCCATCGTTTCAAGCTTTTCCATTTCTCCATCTCGATGAAGGCAACACAACATATGCAGCATCAGAGGACATTTTGATATTTCTCTGTAAAAGTCATCCTTTGTCAAAGCGGAAATGAGTTCGTTCGCTTTACTTTCATTTTCTCTAAATATTAATTGAATATATTTTTCTTGATATTCTGGAGAAAACCCCTTTATCAATATCCTCATCTTCATGTCCTCTCTGATCTCTTCCGCTGCTTGAGTTCGACTCGTTACCAAAATAGTCATTGTGCGAGAAATATCGAAAGATTCTTCTCTTATAAATTTTATAATTTTAGATTTATCCAAAATTTCATCGAACCCATCCAAAATCACCAAAACGTTTAGTTTTTTATCTATCAATTTCCAATTTTTATCAGTTAATTCACGAATATCATCGAGTAATACATCTGTTACACTTTTATCACCTAATTCCCTTAAAATTACAATAAAAGTTAATTGAAAATGTTTTAGATAATTGGAGGATGCCCAATCGTAGGCAATTTTCTTGCATAAAGTAGATTTACCATAACCGGGATCTCCTGTTACTAAAATAGTTTGATGTCCATCTCGTTCTACGGCAAATATCTCATTCAGACATATTTTATATCCGCTTTCATTTCCAAATAAATCTGCTTTCTCTACAGTTAATTCTACAAAGTAATCCTTTAGTGGAAAATCGTTCCTCTTTCCTTCCCACAAGAAAGATTTCATGTAGGAAAAGTAAGTCACATATTTTTCCTTCAACTTCTGGCAGTAATTGTCGAACATTTCTGTAAGTAAAAAACATCATAATCAAATGTCGTATTCATTTTTTAATTTTATTTTTGTATTTGTTATTATATAGAAACTTATTTCGTAGTTATGATAAATTTTATCTACTTCTCTTAGTACTATGATGTATACAAGGGCTGTTTTTTAATCTTTCCTTTATCGCTGACCGGTAAAAATACGTGACTGTGAATTGTGCTTATTTATTAAGCTTATAAGCGCTTATGAAGTTACCGTACGTAACACAGTACGTTCACTAACTTTACCTTAATATTTAAATGTTTCTTGTAATCAATTGTATCAAGTAATGGCAAAATTTTTTTCGCGGAGGAGTAGTGGTTCGTTTACCAGCGGTTGAAAAACACTGACATTAATTACTATTTAGATAAAGATTCGTAAAATACGTGGAAACTTAACAAAAATCTTAGTAAGCAAATAAGGATGGAATATGGACAAGTGACTTTCGAAAAGTCGTTATGTACTAATGTCTGTACTGAAGTGAATTGAAACAGATTCATCCATTGGTTACTCTTAGAAATTTTTACTGGTTTTTCGATTAAACGAAATTTATAAAATACAATTAAATAGTACAAATTTGGGCAAAATGTATAACAGTAAATTAGTTAAAGGCATTGATTCTCAGCACAAAAAACACAGAGATTAAAATTACAACAATGTTTTTTTGTATGTTTATTACTAAGACATGCACTTACCATTCTTTTCTTCGTTTTCTCTCTTTAACCAACTTGCATTCGGTTTTTCAGAATGAATTTCTATTCTAGGTCCAACGTGAACTTGTGTACAGTTCTTGAACATCGTCGAATATTGATTACATTTTTCAACTGAAATTAATGTTCAATTGAATATAATTTGTAGTGAATTATTTAACTAAACAGGAGTTGAATAATAACGAAAATTGATTTATACAATATAAAAAATTTTCTTGCGTAAGATCATAACTCAGATAAACAATTATCTCTGTGTAAAATATTAAAAGATAATAATTTACTCTCTGTAAATTATTATTAATTTTTAATATTTAGCACACTTTTTCGAAATTTTTCAATGTAGTTTTTTCCCATTTTTGTTCCCAATACTTTGCTAAAAATTTTAAAATACAGGTAACCCCCGTATAACACCGCGCTTTTATAACACGGATTCACTCTAACACGGTTTGGGAATTGGGTAAAACCCTCGTACAACATGAATAAAGGGTGCGTTCTTTTACACATCCAAGCGAGCATTTTAAATGTTTTCGTGGCTACTTTGAATGCTTTTTCAACAAATAATTAATTTAATGGTTAAATTTTACAAATGAGACCATTCTTTTGCCTCTAAAAGCTCATTTTAAAATTATAGATCCCTCCATTACGATACTATCGATAGTGCGGGCGCCGCCATCTTTCTTTCATCGTCGTTCGTAAATGCCTACAAAGAGCAGCACACTTCAGTTGCAGAGCGAACGCTATTAACGAACGCACCCAAAAATTGTTACCAGTTGATTTTACCTATGAAAAAAATGAATAATAAATCGATTTAAATAAAGATTTAACAGCATGTTTTAATTTTTGAAACTTAACTCCCCTTTTTCGAACTAGTTCTTTGTTTTGTATAACACGGCAATTATTTGAAACGTAAATCCCGTTTTATACGGGGATTATCTGTAATCACATTTTATCTATGGTAAGCATTACGAAGTTGTTCGTAAGAAACTAATGTAATGAATTGTTAACATTTAGTAAAGTTTAACCTTTTAAAATATTTTTTTATTATATCAATTTCCTCTGTGTATTGTTTATAACAGCTTACATTAACTAATTTTCATGGAATCATTAGAAACGAAAAAATTAAAACGTATATAAATTCTGAAGAATATCCTTCTTTATATCAGCTTCAAAGTTTATGACTAAAGCATTTACCGTTTAGAAGTTCCTTGAACATACTTTCATTTTGCCTCACTCTATCCATTGCCTGTAATTAAAAAATATATTTATTACAGTCTAGAGAATTGTTGTCCAAACAAAATTGTTTACTGCCCCAAAAGCAAAAGTAAAAATATACTATGGGCCGCACGTATTTACTTACAACAAAACATATACAATTGTACAGTATTTTGTATGTATTTAATGTGAAATTTGCTTTTGATTTTTTTCATTTAATTTTTAATATCAACATAATTGGTATTTTTAAATTTTTATCTGTCAATCTATTATTACTTTTACATTTAACAATCTTCAATTTTTAGAAAAACAGATTCACAAAGATAGGTGATTTCTATTGCAGCTGTAATGCTCATTGCGTTTTGTTTTTACGTTAGGAAGTTTATCATTACAGACGTATTTTGTATAAAACCGAACTTTGTTATTGGCCTTAAACGTATATTCTAATTCAGAAGATTAATGGAGATTTAACAAAAACTATGCAGATTTGTTGAAACTAGTTCCACAACAACGTCGAATGGACATAAAAAAATTTTAAATATATTCTCATAAACTTATAAAAATGAAAATCTTTCTTGAAAGTCTCTTAGTAGATTAGTAATTTCTTGTGCATATTTTAAAAAAAAATGTTTTTNAACTAGTTCCACAACAACGTCGAATGGACATAAAAAAATTTTAAATATATTCTCATAAACTTATAAAAATGAAAATCTTTCTTGAAAGTCTCTTAGTAGATTAGTAATTTCTTGTGCATATTTAAAAAAAAAATGTTTTTGTAACTATTAAATTTATGTAATTTTAGTAGATGATTTGTGGTTTATGATTTTAGCTGACTTTCATAAAGTTTGAGATTTGCTGTGAAGGCTTCTATATTTTGATAGTACTCTGTGTTCAATGTGTTTTCACCTTGAAGCTGCTTCTTAAGTTCGTTTAATTTCGTTGTGACATTAGTAAGGAAACATAAATCCAAAAGCCACTGTCCGTCATATAATTTAGGAATATTGTGGTTCCTTTACACTCATAAAAGTTGAAATTTCTTGTCTCAATTTCCAAAAAAAATCTTTTATGCATTTTCCTCGATTTAATTAGCAGAGATTGCTAAACAGAATAACGTTATTAAAAATGACTGCCAGTTTATAGAAAAGAAAACCGGTAACTAACTGTCATCAGATTTTGAAATGATATACAAAACATAACAGTTACATGAAGCACCCTTTGGTGGCTGATTATCATCAGGTAACTTGCACAGTAAGACATAATTAAGCCCGTTAACAATGTAAACACGGAATGACTTGAAATTTAAATTTATATGCACTTTTAAATGTTTAATTCTAATTAAATTTTATTCGGCTTATTTCCAAAAAATTTAAAGAAAACAACAAAATTTCTTATCGTATGTTGAAAACACAGAAGATTGTTGAAACATAAGAGCGTGTCTATTCTTTCACAATTATTAACACATATGGGGTAAATCTAAGACAAAAATAATTTCATTATACCAAAATACAAATTTAAAAATATTTGTTGTCGTAAACAAACTGATTACATAAATATATATACAGTGCGTATTGTACCTACATGTATATTATCAGGCTACCTACTAGTCATAATGCATAAAGATATATTAAATTTAATTATCGTTATTTGTTTTTTTTTCTTATTATTGTGAAGTTAAATAACAAAGCTACTTATTTTAGTTTTTTGGACGATATCAAACATAGTCTTGCAGTCATTATAAAGTAATAATTAACTTACAAAAAAAATTTTTTACAGAGTAAAATACATGTTGCCGACTTACATTTGCAGCTTGTTCGTAATTAACTGGACAAACAATGACATTCTTGTCCTCACTTGAAACTTCTGCTTCTTCCATTGTTTAATTCAAATTTAATAACTTAAATATAAAATTTTAAATTTTTCACAGATTTATGCGTTATACTCCAATTTTTATTTGAAATATGATTTTAAATTAAATGTTTAAATATTTACCTTATGTGTAACACTAATATAATTCTACGAATGCTGGTCTTCCTATGCAAGATGCTTTTGTAGGCGAATTCTGTAATAATAAGAATAAACATATTTTAATGATTACTATAACATTGTAGTCTGTATACAGTATATATTGTGTACATGTCAAAGATAATTATTTCTTATTTAATATGAATCTACTATGTTTTATGCTTAAGAATTTATGTTATAGTTATTTGTAACTGACAAAATATATGTGTAATTACAGTTTATTTATTTACGCAAAATATTCAAAAATTTACACTTCAAAGATCGTGTTCTGTAGATATAAAAACAACTCGTAATTTAAAATATTATAAGAATAATATTTTGAATTAAGAATTTGCATCCAAGTCGAGCTTCCAGTCTTTATCGGGGCTTATTAACATAAGAACATACAGTAACCACCAAAAATGAAATTTTACAGGAGAAACAGAAGGCTATTAACACTGCATAGAATAGTGTAAGGTTTTTCCGTGTGAAGATCTATTGAAGGTCGTAATCATGTCATTTCTAGATTACGCACTGACTATCCTCAGCAACAGAGAAAAAAATGTTTGTTCTTATACGAGGTTTCCTAAGCTATCTGAAATGTCAAATTATATAGGGGNTCTTTCTTTCATCGTCGTTCGTAAATGCCTACAAAGAGCAGCACACTTCAGTTGCAGAGCGAACGCTATTAACGAACGCACCCAAAAATTGTTACCAGTTGATTTTACCTATGAAAAAAATGAATAATAAATCGATTTAAATAAAGATTTAACAGCATGTTTTAATTTTTGAAACTTAACTCCCCTTTTTCGAACTAGTTCTTTGTTTTGTATAACACGGCAATTATTTGAAACGTAAATCCCGTTTTATACGGGGATTATCTGTAATCACATTTTATCTATGGTAAGCATTACGAAGTTGTTCGTAAGAAACTAATGTAATGAATTGTTAACATTTAGTAAAGTTTAACCTTTTAAAATATTTTTTTATTATATCAATTTCCTCTGTGTATTGTTTATAACAGCTTACATTAACTAATTTTCATGAAATCATTAGAAACGAAAAAACTAAAACGTATATAAATTCTGAAGAATATCCTTCTTTATATCAGCTTCAAAGTTTATGACTAAAGCATTTACCGTTTAGAAGTTCCTTGAACATACTTTCATTTTGCCTCACTCTATCCATTGCCTGTAATTAAAAAATATATTTATTACAGTCTAGAGAATTGTTGTCCAAACAAAATTGTTTACTGCCCCAAAAGCAAAAGTAAAAATATACTATGGGCCGCACGTATTTACTTACAACAAAACATATACAATTGTACAGTATTTTGTATGTATTTAATGTGAAATTTGCTTTTGATTTTTTTCATTTAATTTTTAATATCAACATAATTGGTATTTTTAAATTTTTATCTGTCAATCTATTATTACTTTTACATTTAACAATCTTCAATTTTTAGAAAAACAGATTCACAAAGATAGGTGATTTCTATTGCAGCTGTAATGCTCATTGCGTTTTGTTTTTACGTTAGGAAGTTTATCATTACAGACGTATTTTGTATAAAACCGAACTTTGTTATTGGCCTTAAACGTATATTCTAATTCAGAAGATTAATGGAGATTTAACAAAAACTATGCAGATTTGTTGAAACTAGTTCCACAACAACGTCGAATGGACATAAAAAAATTTTAAATATATTCTCATAAACTTATAAAAATGAAAATCTTTCTTGAAAGTCTCTTAGTAGATTAGTAATTTCTTGTGCATATTTAAAAAAAAAATGTTTTTGTAACTATTAAATTTATGTAATTTTAGTAGATGATTTGTGGTTTATGATTTTAGCTGACTTTCATAAAGTTTGAGATTTGCTGTGAAGGCTTCTATATTTTGATAGTACTCTGTGTTCAATGTGTTTTCACCTTGAAGCTGCTTCTTAAGTTCGTTTAATTTCGTTGTGACATTAGTAAGGAAACATAAATCCAAAAGCCACTGTCCGTCATATAATTTAGGAATATTGTGGTTCCTTTACACTCATAAAAGTTGAAATTTCTTGTCTCAATTTCCAAAAAAAATCTTTTATGCATTTTCCTCGATTTAATTAGCAGAGATTGCTAAACAGAATAACGTTATTAAAAATGACTGCCAGTTTATAGAAAAGAAAACCGGTAACTAACTGTCATCAGATTTTGAAATGATATACAAAACATAACAGTTACATGAAGCACCCTTTGGTGGCTGATTATCATCAGGTAACTTGCACAGTAAGACATAATTAAGCCCGTTAACAATGTAAACACGGAATGACTTGAAATTTAAATTTATATGCACTTTTAAATGTTTAATTCTAATTAAATTTTATTCGGCTTATTTCCAAAAAATTTAAAGAAAACAACAAAATTTCTTATCGTATGTTGAAAACACAGAAGATTGTTGAAACATAAGAGCGTGTCTATTCTTTCACAATTATTAACACATATGGGGTAAATCTAAGACAAAAATAATTTCATTATACCAAAATACAAATTTAAAAATATTTGTTGTCGTAAACAAACTGATTACATAAATATATATACAGTGCGTATTGTACCTACATGTATATTATCAGGCTACCTACTAGTCATAATGCATAAAGATATATTAAATTTAATTATCGTTATTTGTTTTTTTTTCTTATTATTGTGAAGTTAAATAACAAAGCTACTTATTTTAGTTTTTTGGACGATATCAAACATAGTCTTGCAGTCATTATAAAGTAATAATTAACTTACAAAAAAAATTTTTTACAGAGTAAAATACATGTTGCCGACTTACATTTGCAGCTTGTTCGTAATTAACTGGACAAACAATGACATTCTTGTCCTCACTTGAAACTTCTGCTTCTTCCATTGTTTAATTCAAATTTAATAACTTAAATATAAAATTTTAAATTTTTCACAGATTTATGCGTTATACTCCAATTTTTATTTGAAATATGATTTTAAATTAAATGTTTAAATATTTACCTTATGTGTAACACTAATATAATTCTACGAATGCTGGTCTTCCTATGCAAGATGCTTTTGTAGGCGAATTCTGTAATAATAAGAATAAACATATTTTAATGATTACTATAACATTGTAGTCTGTATACAGTATATATTGTGTACATGTCAAAGATAATTATTTCTTATTTAATATGAATCTACTATGTTTTATGCTTAAGAATTTATGTTATAGTTATTTGTAACTGACAAAATATATGTGTAATTACAGTTTATTTATTTACGCAAAATATTCAAAAATTTACACTTCAAAGATCGTGTTCTGTAGATATAAAAACAACTCGTAATTTAAAATATTATAAGAATAATATTTTGAATTAAGAATTTGCATCCAAGTCGAGCTTCCAGTCTTTATCGGGGCTTATTAACATAAGAACATACAGTAACCACCAAAAATGAAATTTTACAGGAGAAACAGAAGGCTATTAACACTGCATAGAATAGTGTAAGGTTTTTCCGTGTGAAGATCTATTGAAGGTCGTAATCATGTCATTTCTAGATTACGCACTGACTATCCTCAGCAACAGAGAAAAAAATGTTTGTTCTTATACGAGGTTTCCTAAGCTATCTGAAATGTCAAATTATATACATCTTATTATAAGTATGAGTATAGCTAATTCAATGCGTCCGAGAATTTTTAATGCACGTGTTCAGGCCCTTAGTTGTGCAGACCCTTGTGCACAACGTGCACAAGGACCTGCACAACTTAAGTTAATGGTATGTGTGCGAAGATATATCCTGTAAAACAGTGTTTTTCAACCTTCTTGAATACGCGACCCCTTTACAAGTTAAAAAAATTCTGGCGACCCCCCCAGGACCATATTAAAACTATGTCAGTGATTTTATAAACTACGTATTTAATTTTCTTTCTGTTGAGACCTAAACATCGATCGAAAAATCAATTGTACTGTAAAATACACAGGCACAGCCTTCTAACTGAAATTGAAGTTTTTTCTTTTTTTTTTCTTTTTTTTTGTAGAATTTCGCCGGATGATAATTTAATTTAATCAAATAAGATACAGTCTGCCCAAAAATATTTTTTGAAACAACCATTTATTCTGATTATGTTTTCCAGAACACCATCGACGACAGGACCTTTCTTTGTAGGCTATTAGACTGGGATTGTACAGATAACTTACTTTTCGGATAACCGATTATGTACGATAAAATATATTAACTTATCCTGTGTTAAAATTTTTTTCCGTTGCGTGTCGCTTCGCGTGAAATTTTCGTCGATGTTAGCCTAACGTAAACTTTTTAAAATAATAATCGTGACTACTGTACGTTAAAAATTATTTCTTTATTTTTACAAACAAAATAAATATATTGAAAAATATAAAAACAAAAAAAAACTTATACTTTAGAAGTTAATCTAGTATCAAAAACGTTCGATTCAGCACGGCACACAAAATTGCCAGTGCTGCCAGCTAAAACACACACATCAATCAAAAAAATATTGGACTAGCCCAAGATATAGCCAAAGATTGCAGTGCCACAGCACTAGCGAAAATTTAAATTTGCCGACTGGAATTCTTTCGGATAACCGGCTTTCGGATAAACGAAGCTCTACTGTATTACAAGCGTTGCAAGGTGCGAAAGTCAAATCTAAAAAGTTCAAAAAAGTAAAAAATTATGAAAAATTATATGAAGAAAATTTCCAAATTTATCGTTGAAAGATTAACACTAACATGTAAAATATTAATCGTATAACTTAGTCTATAAAGCAACAAAGACAAAGTCTACTCGCACAGACATGTCAAGCGAACGAGTTCAGAGTAGACAGGCAGATTTCAACGTGTCGACTCGAATCGATAAGTATTTCTACATCACATACCTATTACAAATAGCAGATATAAAATATATCGTATTTGCTCTAATGTTTCGGGTTTTAAAACCCCATAATAAGAACTCTCTAATAACACGAGCCTTATTGTCTGTCACTAACTCGATTACATCATTTCAATGATTGTATCAAACCAATCTTTGTAACAGCAAATATTTAAGAGATAAAAACTCTGAAACGAACGATTGAATCCAAAATGCTTAATAAATAGTGTGTGCTCCATCTGTTATATGATGTTTTTATTAATTGAAACACCTGTAGGTTTTTCTGCATTTATAAGGCGTAAAGTTTGTTATTGAGATTTAGTTACTAAATTGTGTAATTAATAGTAACTTATCGCAAAGATAATGTTTATTAAATTGAATAAAAATATTACAATTTTACTATAATTAATGATATTTATTTTGATTTAAAATCATTGCTACTTTAATCTGTACGTATATAAACATAAAAATTATAGTCTAATTGATAAAAATGTTATTAAATCTATCGAATATTTACCTGTTCTAAGTTACTTTTATCGGTTTGTTAATCCGGCTGATAATATAGCCTACTTGTATTAAAAGTTACATCAATAGTTTTCCATTTATTCACTTTCGACCTGGATCCAGCACAACAGAAAAGTTTTTAAATGATTCATTCCAGAAGTGAAGAGTATTTCATAACAATGCGCAATCAAGTTGTTTCTGTNTTTTCCAGAACACCATCGACGACAGGACCTTTCTTTGTAGGCTATTAGACTGGGATTGTACAGATAACTTACTTTTCGGATAACCGATTATGTACGATAAAATATATTAACTTATCCTGTGTTAAAATTTTTTTCCGTTGCGTGTCGCTTCGCGTGAAATTTTCGTCGATGTTAGCCTAACGTAAACTTTTTAAAATAATAATCGTGACTACTGTACGTTAAAAATTATTTCTTTTTTTGTACAAACAAAATAAATATATTGAAAAATATAAAAACAAAAAAAAACTTATACTTTAGAAGTTAATCTAGTATCAAAAACGTTCGATTCAGCACGGCACACAAAATTGCCAGTGCTGCCAGCTAAAACACACACATCAATCAAAAAAATATTGGACTAGCCCAAGATATAGCCAAAGATTGCAGTGCCACAGCACTAGCGAAAATTTAAATTTGCCGACTGGAATTCTTTCGGATAACCGGCTTTCGGATAAACGAAGCTCTACTGTATTACAAGCGTTGCAAGGTGCGAAAGTCAAATCTAAAAAGTTCAAAAAAGTAAAAAATTATGAAAAATTATATGAAGAAAATTTCCAAATTTATCGTTGAAAGATTAACACTAACATGTAAAATATTAATCGTATAACTTAGTCTATAAAGCAACAAAGACAAAGTCTACTCGCACAGACATGTCAAGCGAACGAGTTCAGAGTAGACAGGCAGATTTCAACGTGTCGACTCGAATCGATAAGTATTTCTACATCACATACCTATTACAAATAGCAGATATAAAATATATCGTATTTGCTCTAATGTTTCGGGTTTTAAAACCCCATAATAAGAACTCTCTAATAACACGAGCCTTATTGTCTGTCACTAACTCGATTACATCATTTCAATGATTGTATCAAACCAATCTTTGTAACAGCAAATATTTAAGAGATAAAAACTCTGAAACGAACGATTGAATCCAAAATGCTTAATAAATAGTGTGTGCTCCATCTGTTATATGATGTTTTTATTAATTGAAACACCTGTAGGTTTTTCTGCATTTATAAGGCGTAAAGTTTGTTATTGAGATTTAGTTACTAAATTGTGTAATTAATAGTAACTTATCGCAAAGATAATGTTTATTAAATTGAATAAAAATATTACAATTTTACTATAATTAATGATATTTATTTTGATTTAAAATCATTGCTACTTTAATCTGTACGTATATAAACATAAAAATTATAGTCTAATTGATAAAAATGTTATTAAATCTATCGAATATTTACCTGTTCTAAGTTACTTTTATCCGTTTGTTAATCCGGCTGATAATATAGCCTACTTGTATTAAAAGTTACATCAATAGTTTTCTATTTATTCACTTTCGACCTGGATCCAGCACAACAGAAAACTTTTTAAATGATTCATTCCAGAAGTGAAGAGTATTTCATAACAATGCGCAATCAAGTTGTTTCTGTTCGGAAAATTTTACTGATAAGATTATTAATCATTTATTCCTGAAGATATACTTGTAGCAAAGGTCGTGTATTGATAATATGTAGATTTATGAGAGAACATTGAGAGATGACTACATACTATATACATGCAGGCTTTGGCGCATGCTATAGCAAATTTTACTTAAAGTCATACTTATAATTTCCATTATTGTATGATGAAAATTATAAGTATAATTATATCCATAATATAATTATACTTTCGTAATGATAACTAACTTCCACACTTCCGGTAGACACGGTGGTGTGAGTCCTGACAAGGCATCAAAGAGGTGTCGACCCTCTAGTCACATGTATGTGTGTTTTTAATATTACAATTGACACAACCGCAGTTGTAATTGATAAACAATTTGAAAAACATTTATATTATTTCAAGGTTTAAATATGGATTTGTGGTGAAATGAGACCCTTTGAAATCGTTCTTTTATTCTGTAAAAGCTGAAGTTTGAGAACTTGTCAATAACTAATGTTTTAAACCCTGTTGTTTAATTATAATGACGGAATAATCCTTTTTATTGTAATTTCGAGGTAATTTAATGGCTATATAGTTTACAAACCTCAACAAAGAATTATGTTCGAACCATTGGACAATATTCCACTGGGTGTTTCAGGCCCAGTGTCCACCACTATTTATGACACAAATGAAAAAACTTTAACTAAATGGATCGATATGGTGACCTTTATAATTTCCTCCATGTGCAATTCGAGTTATTTTCTTTTTCATCCTCTTATGCCAATTTTATATGTAATTTCAACGTCATCGACGTTTTACTTTGATTGTATAGAAGTGAAATCATGGATTCATCCATGTTAATTTCTTGTTTATTATAATTTATGCAAAGTATTAGTGTGTTTTCATTTCGAAATTAATATCTTTATCTCTTTCAGAAAGAATTTCGCTTCTGAAAGAGCATCAATGATCGTTTCAGTACTATTAAAAAAGCACGAAAATTTCTAGATAAGAATAAGACTTATTTTGTTTCACATATTAAAGAAATTCCTTCGATATTTTTCGTGAAAATTCACTGAATAGCACACCGAAAGCCAAACATGAATATGGATTTATGCTTAATACAATTGCCACAAATAAATTGCTAAGTTTTATACATGAACCTTTCACTGAGATTAATTTTAAACTTTTGTAAATGGACTACATTTTTTTTTAAGTTCGTAATATTGAACGATTTACTTAAACGGAAGAGAGAAGACTTAAATTGATTAATATCTATTAATAACTCTTATAAAATAAATATATAGGCTATTCTGTATAAAATAATTTAAGGCCAATTCTGGGACTTTTTTGTTTCTAAAACAGTTTATTATTTGATCAGAGGTCAAAGGTCAGGGACCTATATTTTATCAAAATTTTGTAATTTTAAAAAGTCAAGATTCGGTAATTGTCTACTTTTTATTAAAGGTGTCAAAGGACAAACACTTGTATTTTAACAAGAATTGTTGTAATTATAAATTTATTAATTACATTTAAGCTTCAGATTTCGGAAATTTTAGTGTTTAGAAAATCTGTAAAACAAAACACGTAATTTTAACTTCGTCTAAAACTCATATTTCTAATCTAATCGAACGGTTTATAACGTGAGGAATTTCAACATTTGAATGAACTTTTTTCTTCCATCACTTTAAATGTTCAAAGTGAACGATAATCAGGAAACAAAATGAAACTTTCAGCCAAAATGGTTGCACTTCCGCAGAAATTATTGCAATTTTCTTTTACACATTCCAAGTGTGCATAATGTAACCTTTTAATTATTTTACGTCAAGAGAATCAACAATTTTAATAATAAGTAAAACTGATGGCAATAAATTGTTTGAAGTGGCGAAAAAATAAAAAACTGGCGAAATGGTGGAGGTACAGTAGAGCGTCGATTTTCCGAATCAATTGGGGACTGGGGTTGTTCGTATAACTGATATTTCGGATAACTGATTTACGNCTGCGGCGACAAATCACGGACTGGTGAGATGGCGCCACTCCTCTACGAGTTTCCCGGGAATCCCGGATAGAAAAACGGGAACTGGGTTTTTCCCAGAGAGAGAATTCTGGGTATTGTTGCTTCTTCTTCTTGTCGGGTGATCGCTGCCATGAGCACGTGTAGCTCTCTTTCAAGTGTACTCGAGGATTGTTGTAAATAAATGTTGTTTTAGTTTAAAACGTGGTCGTGGACTTAACTAATTCATGTTTACAGCCTTCTGATAAAGACAGTCTTTGTGGAGATGTAAATGGATGGAAAAAGACGGCCAGATTTCGTCTAACCGATGGCGGCCGTCTATTACCTCCACTACACTAATAACAGATTATTTCATACTTTTCGGTTATCTGCCCTTTCAATTTTCCGACCAACCCCAGTCCCCAATTAGGTCGGATAATCGACACTCTACTGTAATTATAAATTTATTAATTACATTTAAGCTTCAGATTTCGGAATTTTTACAGGGTTTAGAAAATCTGTAAAACAAAACACGTAATTTTAACTTCGTCTAAAACTCATATTTCTAATCTAATCAAACGGTTTATAACGTGAGGAATTTCAACATTTGAATGAACTTTTTCTTCTATCATTTTAAATGTTCAAAGTGAAGGATAATCACGAAACAAAATGAAACTTTCAGCCAGAATGGCTGCATTTCCGCAGAAACTATTGCAGTTTTCTTTTCCATATTCCAAGTATGCATAATGTAACCTTTTAATTATTTTACGTCAAGAGAATCAACAATTTTAATAATAAGTAAAACTGATGGCGATAAATTATTTGAGGTGGCGAAAAAATTAAAAACTGGCGAAATGGTGGAGATATTTTAAAATTTTCCAGAGCAATTCATGCTGCACTGTTGTAGAAACTATATGAATTTCATTTTCGTTTTTATTCACGAAGGAACGAAGAATTAAAATTCATTATATTTTTACCATTATATTAATTAATGATGGCGATATTTGATATGATGACGTAAAGCTTCGTATTGCTGCAATGACAGGATGTAACTATTAGAATCTTCCAGGACGTCGATACTTTCCAATGCAACCAATTCCTCGTCTTCACTTACATTTAATAATTGCCGCATGTCGACGGATAAATTCAAATTGTAATTTACATTGGTAAATTTTTCGTACGAATCGGAGGAAGGAAAATCTACACCAATAAAATGAATGTGAAAATTGTTTGGGTTTATTGTATAAATAAAATCTATAATGTAAGTAACGGGTTCTCGAATATCGTGTAAATTTATCACAGCAATCTCCTCAAGAAATAGCACAAGATAAATTGTAACGTTATTTGGTAAACTGTAATTGCTCAAAAAATCGGATAATACTTCTTTTAATTCGTGGTATTCATCCATGCTCTCAGAAAAATATAAATAAAATTCTTTGAATTGATACAACGTCAATAACTGTTCGAAATTAGAGAAATTCGAAGAGAAACAGTACACAGATGAATGGGAACAAAATTGTTCCCAGTTCGTTTGTAGTTCGATTTGTTGATGAACTTGAAGCATGAATTCGGGAGTAAATATCTTATCCTCTATAGCTTTTAATAACCCTTTAGGTAAAGGATCATGTTTATAAAATCCCAATAGAAATAATAATTCCGCACTATAAATATGAGATGGGAATGGAACATAACCCATATATATGGATAAAGCCGAAAGGAATTCACCAAATGTGCGATGTACAAAACTGTATCGAATTATATTATCGCACTCTGATAAGGAATCCAGAGTAAGAATGCCCAGTCCAATGATAAATTTATATTTATCTTCATTTGAAAACTTCTTCTCTAAGACTTTTGATGTTATACAGCATGGTTTCCTGTTTAATTTTCCCAATTTCAGTAGCAGATTTTCTCCCACAAAATATTTTCCTGTTTTAAACTTACTTTTCTGAACTGATTTTCTAACATAACGTTCAGTTATGAGAGAAAATATTCGGATGTATAAATCAGTCATAGTTTCAAGTTTTCCCATTTCTCCATTCTTATGAAGGCAACACAACATGTGCAGCATCAGAGGACATTCTGCTACTTCTCTATAGAACTCTTCCTCCTCCAATTTAGAAATGAGTTCGTTGGTCTTACTTTCGTCTTTTCCAAACATTAATTGAATATATACCTCTTGGTATTCTGCATTAAATCCTTCTAACGAAAATCTCATCTTCATGTTCTGTCTGATGTCCTCTGCAGCTTGAGGTCGACTCGTTACCACAATGGTCATTCGAGAAGAAATGTCAAATGAATCGTCCCTTATAAATTTTATAACTTTATTTCTCTCTACAACCTCATCGAATCCATCCAAAATCACCAGAATATTTAATTGTCTATCTTCTAATTTCCGAACTTTATCAGTTGACGAGTGCTCATTCATGTTATGGAGTAATGCATCTTTTACACTTTTATTGCCTAATTCTCTTAAGACCAGAAGTAAAGTTAAATCGAAATGTTGCAGATAATTTGTAGATGCCCAATCGTATGCAATTTTCTTGCAAAGGGTGGTTTTACCATAACCGGGATTCCCTGTCACTAAAATAGTTTGATGACCATCTTCTTGTATTGAAAATAGCTCATTCAAGTTTATATTGTCTCCGATTTTCATTCCAAATAAATCTGCTTTCTCTACGGTTAATTCTACGAAATAATCCTCTAATGGAAAATCGAATCTCTCTCCTTCCCATAAAAATGATCTCATGTAAGAACACTCCGTGATGTATTTGTACTTCAACTTCTGGTAGCAACTGTTGATCATTTCTATAAGTAAAAGAAAAAAGTTTAATCAAACGTTACACTAGTCTTTTATTTATTTATTTTATTAGCGTATTAGAAATTATTTCGTGGTTATGGTAAATATAACAATAATATTTACAGTACATGAATAGATGGAGTTTTGTAAAACGTGTGTGAGCTTAAAGAAAATTTTAGTGAATGACTTATGAACAAGTGTACACGCATGATATTGTCTAATATGGAAAAAATCCAGCAACGAATTGCGTAACTTTCCCGGCGACAACATTTAAAATGACGTATTTGATGGCACCATGACAAATGAAATAAATTTATTCTTATAAAATACCATTTCTTTACGTTATTCGAAAATTGTCTTTCATAATCTTCTTGTTCCCATGAGAAGAAAACGAGTTCCCATGAGAAGAAAACGACAACTGACTGAAATTAATATGTGTAATTCATTGTGTTTTATGTTGACACAATCAATATTAAGAGAGTATCATATCATGCTGTTCTTATACAGAACGAAGAATATGCTCTGACTAATTAACGGGTAAGAAACGCGAAATGAGGGCAATCTGCCATGTGAGAGCGTGTCCAGGAAGGACAGAATATGCGAATTGTACCATATTCACATGTTACACACGTGAGATAAACCAGGAAAACTCCACATAGACAGCCCGTTAATGAGGCGCAAACCCGTGAGCAGTGTTCAGTAGTTTTATCCTCTCGGCCACTATTGGTCTCGAATTACAATGCGTTAAGCAGATTCAACAGTTCAGGAGCTGTTGAGTACTTTTCTGCTGAATGCTTTCTACAGTAGCATTATTACGAAACATGTTTTATGTTATGACGACATTTAATAACGTCTTTCGTTTACGTTACCCATCGCTAGCTGTACCAATGATTCAACGCACACGTCGCTCATCGTTCAGCAGATGTAACTACGTAACAACTACTGATTGAAACACCTTTTCTCAGTTACTACTATTGGCTCTGCTGAACGCAGCCAACGCATTTGATTCACGTTTCTGTTAAGCATTTACCTTCTTTTTCTTTATCTTCTTTCTTCAAATCTTTTGTTTTTGGTTCTTCTGTACGAATTTTTATTTTTGGTCCATCTCTACTAATTTCTACTTTTGGTCCTTCGGTATGAATTTCTATTTTTGGTCCAACGTGAACTTGCGTACAGTTCTTGAGCATCGTCACATATTGATTACCATTCTCAACTGAAATTAATATGAAATTAAATATTATATTTTATCCCTCAAGATTAGATTAAACACGGATAATCTGGTGTTCGGTTTAAAACAGAAATAGGTCTTTCCTATTTTTCACTTAAGGATAATTATATCTATATCCTTTATACTACGATAATTATTCTTATATAAAAGATAGGAGAGATACCAGACTTTACTCAAAATAAATTATTCTTTTTTAGTATTTATCACGTTTCTTCTGTACGCTGTTATATTCATTTATAATGTGTAAAATAAAGAATAAATAATTATTTACCGTTTGGAAGTTGGTGAAATAAATTTACATCTTGCCTCATTTCGCCTATTGCCTGCAATTAATTAAATAATATACGTAAATGTNGAGGTTAACAGCACCAATAAAATAAGGGGAGTTCGAGTGAGGACCCGAAAGTGAACGGACGTGTTATTTTATGGTCTCCAATTTTCTTTGTCTTGTTCAACCTACACTCGACCTTACGACTACGACTGCAAAATAATACGACATATACATAAATGTCTGTTTGAACTACAGTACAATAAAGTTTATAAAAAGTAAAAAATATCTAATACAGTCAAATATGGCGTTCAAAATTTGTTCGTAAACTGAGGCGTTCGAAACTCGAGGTTCCACTGTATTAATACACCAGCCTAACTTTATGAAGAGTCCAGGTTGGCTCCAACTATGAAATGTGGAACCGTCCCAAGAATATCAGAAAACGTTCCTCACCATTTAACTGTTCTATTGTAGGAATGGCAGTGATGAAGCACTGTTTCTGGATAAAAATTACTTTCTCAGGAGGGGAATGTATGGCGATCGGTCAAAAAGTGACCTTTTAGAGTTTTACATTTTTCGACTTAGGAGACCTCGTAATGTCGTGAAATGCAAGAAAAATCGGGGTTTTTTCTGCATATATGGATGCTAGGGTGTGGGGGGAAACGATTTTGTTCACCCTCTTTGAAGCTTAATAATTCGTTACTTCGGACAAAAATTTCTGAAATTTTGCAGGGGAATATATTTATTAAGGAAATNTCGTGAAATGCAAGAAAAATCGGGGTTTTTTCTGCATATATGGATGCTAGGGTGTGGGGGGAAACGATTTTGTTCACCCTCTTTGAAGCTTAATAATTCGTTACTTCGGACAAAAATTTCTGAAATTTTGCAGGGGAATATATTTATTAAGGAAATTGAAGCTATTAAATTTTGGTGATTAAAGGCAGAGTGGTGAGGAAATAGAGGTGGTGAGGTGTCAAATCTCGAATGGAGTCGGATTTTATAAAGATTTTACTCTTACAAATTTTTTTAAAACTCGTCTATACCTTTAAAATTAAGCTTTTTTTTTCGTTTTATAATCACTAATAATAGGCTATAAAAAGTTTCTTAAATTAAATATCTTAACAGATGGCTCCTCACGAAAATATAAATATTGTTGCCGGGAAAGTTACGCAACACATTGCTGGATTTTTTCATACATAGCAGCGGATACAGATTACGTTCAATACTATTTTTGAACAAATTAAAAGATGATTGTAAGTGCTGAGTGTTATTAAAGTATTCAAGTAGTTTTAAAACAATAATCTATAAAATAGATTAAAATAATTTGTACTACACAGACTTACATTTGCAACTTTTTTGTCGTCAGCTTCATAAATGACAATACTCTTCTCGTAACTTGAAACTGCTGCTTCTGCCATTTCTTTCATTCAACTTAAATAATTTAAAGTTAAGGTATAAAACTTTGAAAGCTTTCGTTCTTTATTTTATTAATTATATAATTGTACAATAAATATATAAATAGTCTATTTACCTCACGTTTATCAATTGAATGTAAGGCTATTGATGAAGGCCTTCGTGTGCAAATATTCTAGTAGCGAATTCTCCAACACTAATAAACATAAATAAATTTTTCAGAACAAAATACTATTATTATAAAATTTAATTTTTAATTCGGTTCTCCGCTCTTTTCACTGGCATACCACCCGAGCTTTCAATGTGTAGACTTGTAAAGAATCCTTCTTGCGTACCACCGGTGGTACGTGGACACTAAGAGGGCCTTTATTCCTTGTACCATGTTAATCAAGGGTTCGGCCAGACCCACGATAAAGGCGACAGGATGATNTCTCAGCGAAGCACGTAAGATTGCCACCGAAAGAACTGAATTAGCTCACGAAAGAAACAGAGATAAATATAATAGTCAACATCAAACTCCAAACTTCAAAGTAGGAGATCAAATATTACTACAAACCTTCTTCCATCCCGACCAAGGAAAACTTGCTCCAAAGTATCATGGACCTTTCACCATATTAAAAATAGTATCTCCTTGTAACGTAGAAATAGACAGACCTGTCCAATCATTAAATAAATTAACCGATATTGTAAATGTAGATAAAATTATACCGTATTATAATCCAACCAACTTTAGAGTTCAAGCCGATAAATTGTATAACACCCAGCCCAACCTCCCTGAGGCTCCATGATGTCGCCTTTTCAGGAGGGGGGCATTTAACATATTTAAAATTTTGTAAATTTTGTATATATTTTCTGTATTTTACTTTGTTAATCTCGTCCCTTTTGGAATGAGGTTAACAGCACCAATAAAATAAGGGGAGTTCGAGTGAGGACCCGAAAGTGAACGGACGTGTTATTTTATGGTCTCCAATTTTCTTTGTCTTGTTCAACCTACACTCGACCTTACGACTACGACTGCAAAATAATACGACATATACATAAATGTCTGTTTGAACTACAGTACAATAAAGTTTATAAAAAGTAAAAAATATCTAATACAGTCAAATATGGCGTTCAAAATTTGTTCGTAAACTGAGGCGTTCGAAACTCGAGGTTCCACTGTATTAATACACCAGCCTAACTTTATGAAGAGTCCAGGTTGGCTCCAACTATGAAATGTGGAACCGTCCCAAGAATATCAGAAAACGTTCCTCACCATTTAACTGTTCTATTGTAGGAATGGCAGTGATGAAGCACTGTTTCTGGATAAAAATTACTTTCTCAGGAGGGGAATGTATGGCGATCGGTCAAAAAGTGACCTTTTAGAGTTTTACATTTTTCGACTTAGGAGACCTCGTAATGTCGTGAAATGCAAGAAAAATCGGGGTTTTTTCTGCATATATGGATGCTAGGGTGTGGGGGGAAACGATTTTGTTCACCCTCTTTGAAGCTTAATAATTCGTTACTTCGGACAAAAATTTCTGAAATTTTGCAGGGGAATATATTTATTAAGGAAATTGAAGCTATTAAATTTTGGTGATTAAAGGCAGAGTGGTGAGGAAATAGAGGTGGTGAGGTGTCAAATCTCGAATGGAGTCGGATTTTATAAAGATTTTACTCTTACAAATTTTTTTAAAACTCGTCTATACCTTTAAAATTAAGCTTTTTTTTCGTTTTATAATCACTAATAATAGGCTATAAAAAGTTTCTTAAATTAAATATCTTAACAGATGGCTCCTCACGCAAATATAAATATTGTTGCCGGGAAAGTTACGCAACACATTGCTGGATTTTTTCATACATAGCAGCGGATACAGATTACGTTCAATACTATTTTTGAACAAATTAAAAGATGATTGTAAGTGCTGAGTGTTATTAAAGTATTCAAGTAGTTTTAAAACAATAATCTATAAAATAGATTAAAATAATTTGTACTACACAGACTTACATTTGCAACTTTTTTGTCGTCGGCTTCATAAATGACAATACTCTTCTCGTAACTTGAAACTGCTGCTTCTGCCATTTCTTTCATTCAACTTAAATAATTTAAAGTTAAGGTATAAAACTTTGAAAGCTTTCGTTCTTTATTTTATTAATTATATAATTGTACAATAAATATATAAATAGTCTATTTACCTCACGTTTATCAATTGAATGTAAGGCTATTGATGAAGGCCTTCGTGTGCAAATATTCTAGTAGCGAATTCTCCAACACTAATAAACATAAATAAATTTTTCAGAACAAAATACTATTATTATAAAATTTAATTTTTAATTCGGTTCTCCGCTCTTTTCACTGGCATACCACCCGAGCTTTCAATGTGTAGACTTGTAAAGAATCCTTCTTGCGTACCACCGGTGGTACGTGGACACTAAGAGGGCCTTTATTCCTTGTACCATGTTAATCAAGGGTTCGGCCAGACCCACGATAAAGGCGACAGGATGATGAGAGACAGAGACAGAGAATTATGGAAGTTAAGGCAGATCATTGCAGTATAGAAGAGAACTGCTATGAAATAAAAAAAAAACCCTAAAGGATTTTTTAAAAGATTGTAATTCATGTTATTTTTTTAAAGATAACATGATTCTGTTACCTTTTATCAGTGAACAGTAATGTGAGACAGATCATTGATATTAAATTGCAACTAAATAATACACATATTTTATTTTTCCGGCTGTTAACAGAGAAAAAGTACGGCGATCGATCAAAAAATGAATTATCCAGAGGTTTACATTTTTGGACTTGGAGAACTTTAAATCGTCGAGAAATGATAAAGATTTGGAAGATTTTTCTCTATATAAATGGACTATTCTGGCCGAGTTGGCCATCTGGGGATTCTTTGCGTTGTTGTTCCCCCACTGTAACCTGCCAACTCGGCTGTCAGGGGACTTTTTGCGTTTAATTTTTGTGCTTTTGTACGGCAACGTATTCCGAGTTGATATTTTCAGCAGCTTCTTACGCATCGAGTCGGTTGTCCACGTGCATAGCTGCCAATTGCTCGCGTTCCCTGTCTCCCTAGAGGCAGTACCATGTGCGGACTTCTCTGTATATATTTTGACCATACTCTTTTCTGTGGGCTACGCCCCGTGTGTTATAATTAAAGTATATTCAATAAATGGAACTCGATGGCGCCATGATTCCCATTTCACACTTTCCTATCATTTTTTACTTTTCTTCCCTCTTCTCACTTCTTCTAAAACTCTTCATCCTTTTCAAAAGCTATGCCGTAAGGTTCGGCCTTCTAACACTTTTAAATCATATCAGATATGAGTGAGTGTGTTCGGGGCATGATTATATTCATCCCATTTCAAGCTTAATAACTCTTTTGCCTCTTGTTGGAAATTTCTGAAATTTCGCAGTGATGTTTGGGTATTAGAGGGAATTGTTTCCAGAAATTTTCAGGAAAATCAGACCATTGGTTCGGGAGATATTAATTAAAGGAGTGGAACCATACCTCAAAAAGCTTTCATTTTATAAAATTAATTCTGTCAGTCTGTGTATATGTAGATAATACATATACAAAAACTGATCATACATACAGAAAAAATCCTCGACTTTTCTAGCATTTCTCGACGTTTCAAGGTCCCCTGAATGTAAAAATGTAATAATCTTGTAAGGCTATTTTTGACCGATTCCCATACTTTCTATGTGTTATATAACAGCAGGGAAAGTAAATAATGATGAAGAAAGTCAGTAATAAATTAATTTTTAATCAATTCAGTAACATTTTCAGAATAACGACAGGAAACACCTTGGAAATCTTCAAAATCAGTCTTCAGCAGCATCCATATTCTTATAAAGCTAGATATGTTGTAAACAAGTTCTCTGTTAATCCTGTATTCTATATGTTCTACCCCAGTTAATCCTCTGTTGTGACGTTACTGTGATGATCTCATAAATCCTTTCTGCAGCTCTCTTGCAGTTGCTGGCATTCTTTATTGTTTCGTATTCATTTAGATATTAGTTCTATTATATTCGTTAAATTATAAAAATAATAATTGTAATAACGATTAAATATTTCGTTTCGGTTTAAAAGCATGTATTTTAATCTATACACAAAAATAAAGAATATAATTAGTAAAATTAATATTATACACAAGAATATTAGAGCTATAAAATATTCAGTTGTTGTTTAATTATAATTACAGTAAAGTTTCTCTTGCATGTATACTGCATGTAATTTAATGACGTAATTTTCTACACTACATTGTTGTGTAGAATGTTATCACAGGCATCTTTTACTCTTTACTACTATAATTATATGATACATAATTCGATACATACCTGGTATTTCATACCTTTCCGATAGGTACAATACATATCGATTCTTATATTGTTTGGGTTATATTCAATATTCTTACTCCAGAGTACATACATCACATTAATTAAAATGAAGGAGCAATTCTAAATAATCATATATAATAAAAATATTGTTACACGCTTCACTAAATAAGTATTCATTGTTGCACCCTAGAGCGCAACAAGGTGCTTTATCTTCAGATAAATTGTAATTGATAAGTTTACTGGCTCGGGTTTATTTGGGTGACGTGACAGGTAATCGATACGCTGAGGGGGAGGAGTTTTATGAGAAATTTTCTGTATTTAGGTGTTAGAAACAAAGAAATCTCGGAAAATTCAACCACCATTGTTTAGTGGTATATACCCATTCGGTCAGTAGCGTGTTATGGCTTCGAGGAGCTAAGCTAATTTGAATTAGGGAACCCCCAAGGACAGTGTTGATTTCAGATTTTTTTCTTCGAAGAATGTTTTGGGGCCTCCTATTAATGGGGGCTTCAGGAAAGTGTCCTTTTTACCCTTAGGATAACCCGTTACTGCACTCGGCCATTTGTGGGCACCATTTATTCCTGATTCTTTGAATTTAATAAAAAGTATTTTTTTATATAACAACAATATTATAACAGACATTCACCATGAATAAATAATAACAACTTATACATAACAATTTTACTTGAAGTACTTGTTCACTATTCGAAAACGGAACTGTATTTTAACGTGGGAATACGTGTTACTGCTAATTGTCCTGTCTGTTGACAAAATTTTCCAAAATATTAATTAAGTATCTATAAGTAAAACAAAATGTTAGATTTTTTCATACAGCACTATCAGGTCTATCAGTATTGTTCATTCGTTATCATCAATAAGAGTATCCTTTCACCTTGTCAATATCGCTTTATCATAGATATAAGTAATATTAATCTATTATTATAAAACTTGGAAGTGATATACGCAAAGAAAGTTCTTTCACTTTTGAAGGACGATTGCCGCACCATTTTATACATTTACGTTCTTCTGGTATCAATTCTGTGCTTGCTGAACGAAAAGCTGTCTGCCTGTTAATATAGTTATCGATATAACACCGTTAATATCGTATCCGTTTTGACTGTATTATCAATAAAAATACAGACAAGAAATTAATAATTATTCCTTTCCTGTTTATTACTTATCATAATCACTACGTATTAAACCCAGATATACCTAAGCGTACGTGCAAAACAGGTTGAGAATCACTGATTGTCATCAAAAAAATCACTTTGCACCTATGGATGTTGAGGTGCAACCTCAGAACCTGACATTGATCAACTTGTAAGGCACTAAAAGAACCTTTTAAATCATATACATCGGGTGTCAGGCCAGACACACAATGGGCCATTTCCAAAACATTTTTCGAAATGGTCTGTAGGGGGGTTTCTTCGACTATCAGTATTGGATTTCATATCCAGCGGTATCAATAGTACTTGTAAAAACGGTCCTAGAAGCCATTTTTTTTTTTTGTGATTTCTTGTGTATTCCTGTATGCTGCGTTTGGTACCCGAGGATTTACATCCCCTTTCATTTTAGGGAATAGAAGCAATTCTTAATCGATAATAAATAACGACCGATGTATTTATATTCAAGTACACTGTAAATTCGTCTACACCAAACCTAGAATCTTCCTTCTTTGTTAATTCAGGTAAAGACTGGGCAAACCTGAGGCCAACCATACAATTTGCAACATAATACCGTCTTGTATCAGTATAATCAATCGTTACAAAATGAAAAGAGTTATTTTTAATATCTAAAAAAACTATTACAATAAGTGCTTAGCAAAAAGTTCCATTTCACACAGTTCTATATATTATATTTTATATAAACAAGTTACATCTAGTTACTTTAATGTTTTTCATGTTTTCTCCATTGAATTATTTTCTTGATTTATTATGGAATTAATTAAAGTATTCTCTGTATGGTTCAATTTCACTGAAATTCTTTCACTTATAATATTAAACAAATCATCATTATTAGTATTATTTGTATTATATCTATTAGAATTCATATTTATATTGCGCAATATCATTTCTTCTTGCTTGTTGCTCACATTTTCAGGAGCATGTGTTGTTTCAAAATTTAAATTCTGAATCATATCCGGTATATAAACCTCTTTCCGTGCCGTATCTTCTGTTGCGAAGTCTCCATTAACCCTTTCAACACGATTCTTGTCAGAAATAAAGCTCTGTAAATCTGCCACACCTGATTGAAATTTAGTTATGTCTTCTAACCTAAATTTTGAAAAAAACCAAGTATAAATTTTGAATTTCTATATTCTTAAAATACTTTTCTATACTCCATCTTACCCAGATATTTTCAGAAAATTTAGAAATTCTTGGAATTTTACAAATGTATTTTGAATAGTGTTTAATGTAGCATCATCTATCAGAGTGTAACCAGGTGTGTGAGATGCTTTCCCTTGGCTCTCTAACTATTTGAATAAAATAACAGATTCTACATTAACGTTCAAACTCCGACAAAATTAAAACTGAATAGAGTTACCTGCTTGACTTTCATCTCTGCTAGTTTTCTTTTTCCCTGTTCAATCTGCAGTTGTTGAAAACATATCTTCAGTTCTCTCTATATAAACATATAAATTGTAAATTCAAAAAGGTGGACAGCAAACAACAGCTACAGTTTCTGCTTGAACGAATGCATAATGTAGTATGAGCTGAAACTATAGCAGTCATTCACTGTTTACAGTTTTGAAATAAGGTACTAGAAATCCCAATTTCTTTCTAGTTATGACTTCAAATATCAGTTTATACCTGTAAATGATAACAAGCATTTACCCATTCTTCTAATTCATCACTTCTACTTGTACTAGAACTTGAAACATCAGATTCTTTATCTCTATATTAAAAAGAAAATTGAATCTAGTAGTAATCATTTAAATTAGAACATAACATTTTTCTATATATACAGTTGAACATTTCTATTTAAAAAAGAAAAAAATCTGAGATATAAAGGTTCCTACACAGTAAACAGTAATTGGCTTGATTGTGGGTATGGTAATTTATTAATAAAATAGCAAGTACAGTACTGTACATACTTGTATTAGGTATAAATAAAACATGTTTGATATACCATAAAAGAAATAGTTTGTCAATACTTTCTGTTGTCCAACTGTCTTCAACAAGCAAGATGCAAGCCAAACTCATAGTCAATCAGAGAAAAGCAATGTCAATTATATATACATTATGTACTGTATTGCAAGAGATGTTTCTCAACTACAGTTTATGCTGTCAAAATAGAGTTGCTGAGTTTTGAATTTGTAAACAACACCTAAGTATATAACTTGAGATATAAAACTTCTAAGAAAAAATTATTTGAAATAAAGATGGAAAATATCACCTAAATTGAATTTAGGCTAAAAATGAAGGGGAAAAAATAAATTTCGAGATAAATATTTGATATAGCAGGATCAACTGTATACAATATTAATTTATAAATAATTTACTTATGCTTGTTTCTGAATATAACATTGTGCTTTATGTATAGATTATGTAAAGATAGATTATGTATAGATTAGGTATAGATTATGTAAGCAATGGTTCATATTTTTCAGTAATTACATTAATATATTATGGTAACTTTTGTAAATAAATATCAAAATAGAAGAGAACCAACATCCTTACATGCCACAGTTTTTAGGAGGAGGACGACTGTTCACTCTCCGTGTCAGTTTTGCCTTTGTTTTCTCTTTAATTCCAGCAGTTACAGTTTTCTGATGCTTTTTGTTTAACTGAAACACATTAAGATACATTAAACATTTTAACACATTGAACATTAATAAAGTCATGTTATATTTTCAATTGTTTTACCTTTGATCCTTTCATTGTGAATTTACCCACCCGTTGCATCAAGGATTCGCAAAGCAAGCACTTCTTTGAAGATAGCTTGTTAAACTAAATTCGTTTGAATAAAAGAATAACTACTAAATTACTATTTAATTTATACAGTAGTTAAGCCTGAATTTTAATAACCAAATGTCTAAATGCCAGATTGACTTAATACCAAATTACTTAATTTCCTTAATTAAAGTTTAGCATAATTATAGCTTCAAACAATCTGGCAATTAGATATTTGGTTATCATTTCTTAGTTAATCTTACTTACTTCAAACATTTTCCCTTTATTATTCTCATCTAACTGCTGTTGTATTTTCTCTAATAATTCTTGATCTGTGTAATAAATTCAGAAATTAAAGTTTTAAGCATGTTAAAAACAATATTCTTCATTTGATTTGAAAGTTAATAAATCCAGAATTATTTACATTGTCTGCCATTTTTTATTTATTATTTTTTCTAACTCTATTTGTCCTTTCAGTACCAAGAGCAAGTTCATGATAAATTTAGCCAGACAAACGATGGGACGACCTAGTGATCAGAAATGGATCCCTGACATATCCAGATGGACCATCACCAAAACATTCCTCAGGTTATTTTGACTTGTCTGGATTAATTCAAGATTTCTGAGTGGGAGACAGCCACCTAAGCTGTTCAGCCATAGGTCTGCCATTATAAGATAGCAGTTATTTAATTATTATGTCAGATTTGCAAGTTCAAGCAGGTGATAATGTTATAATGATTTTTCATATGTTACCTTTACAGATATACGTAGTGTTTACAACATTCAATGTGTGCCAACACACTAACGTTTACAAGAATATAACATTACATATGCACTCAAAGCATTGAAATGTTTAGAAATTGTACAAGACTGTCCTTTAATTTTTACTATAAACATTTGTTTGTATGTTAATATGTGGGATTTGAGTCATTACACAAAACCCTCTAGCTCCATTATTTTCAAATTTCCAATCTGACTCAAATTCTATGAATATCCAATAAGTATTAATTAATTAGCAATGGTAAATCCTTACTAAAATAATACATGGTATCATAAATATTTCATTACTACATACCACAATTAGACTTGCACTCTACATTTAAATATTAATCTACACATAAAGCACAATGTTATATTCAGAAAGAAGTCATAGACAGTACATGCTTAGCAACTCAACTCTGAATTCATCCAAAGATGGTTTACCCCCTATTAATGAAATATAAGTTAATAAATTATTTTATATATATGTAAATGTAATTAAATTATCTCTCTTCAATGTCTGGACAGATATTTTCCAGTCCAAATGCAAGCAAATCTGGTAAGGTTACATTCTGAATGTAAGAAACCTCATTTCTGATCTTCCACTGAACCAAGTATAGCTAATGTGGACCAACTTAAACTTATAATGGGCACGGATAAAAGGTTCTCATAATGCTAATAGGGTAGAGAGAATTAAAGAAAGTGTTCTGTCACTTTCAGATCACTTATTTTCTTTCTCACTTATAAAATGCAAATAAAAACTAAACTATTATATTAATAATTTATATATAAACATATATTCAACTTACCAATAGAAGAATTCATTTGTAAATCTAAAACTTCCAGAACCATATTGTGATTTAAAACATTCAACAGAGATTTTGCACCAATGTCACTTATGTCGCAATTCTGCAAGTCCAGAGCTGATAAATATAATAAATACATTGTTATATACATATAGTTAAACATTATTTGGTCCTAAAAGACAATTTTACACTTAAATTTATAACTAAGCATGCAACAAAGTATACTTTTACAGATGATCAATATTAATTTAGTATATAAAATAAATTAATTTTCCAGTATCTTGCCAAATTATCCACTTTGTCAGATGACCAGAGGTCACATAATAACAATTCAGGAATATAAATTTGACCCATTTTTTACACTCATTCCATATCTCTAAATTACAGTACTTTGGACTGTCAAAACATTCTCAGTTGTGAAAAATTGAAGAAAAACTCAAAACTGAATATTTGTATCTTGTTAAACTTCATATTCTTGACAACATTCGTGCAAAAGTTCAAGCAATATGATCTATTATTTTAATATTTATAAGAAAATTTCCATAACAGTGACTTGCCAGCTTAAAAATTTAGTTGCCTATACATAATATTCCAATAATTTAATCTGAGAAACATGGAAATTTCAAGCACAATTCATAATTTGTCCAAATTAAAGATACCAGATCATTAGTTTCCTATAGTTTGACTAGAAATTGTTATGATCTAATAGTAGTTTAGATTCTATTTTAGAAAATTTCTTTATATACAAAGAAACTTGACTTTATTTTCAAGTACAGGTTTGCATTATAAACTTTTTTATACTTTGAGTAATTTAAATTATGGATAAAGTCAATTAAATCTCAAGTTACCTTTTAACCATATATCATTAAAAAGCAGTTCAGTTAATAATTTAACTCCTTCATCTCCAATTTGTACATTATCATTTAAAGTAACTCTCCTGATTCCCGGCAAACTGTCGAGAATGGGATGACGGTATCGCAGACTTTTATACCAAGTTGCCGTGTTGCGTTGAATGGCTTGATGCTAAATCCAATTAACATAAAATAATATATTTAAGAAAAACAATTAAAATAGTCAAACAGAAAGTAGAAAAATTCTCTCGCTTACTTCAATTAAAGAGACTAAACACTTCATATCTTCAAGGGTAATGTGGCAATTACTTAAATCAAGCACCTTGACACTTGGCACGATTCTCAAACACTTGCACAAGACTGTCAAATATGTAAATCTACATAATCTTTTTTTAATCAAATTGTAACTATTAAATTGCAAATATTACCTGTTAATCCATTCTTTTCTATAAAGCACCCTGATAAAGATAAATGCTGTAAAGAATTTGATTCTGGGAAAACCTATTTGAATAAGTTTTCATAATCAGTATTATTGTGTAAAAACTCTGGTGTATATTTAAAAGTAAATACTGTAAATATTTATAATAAGTGGATTCTTCAGTTGGTCTAAATGTTTCAAACAATGTCCCTAGTCACTGAGAAACACAATATATATTTATCATGTTTATCAGTGCACAATGTACGAGAGCTATTTTTTAAATAAGGTCTGTTTGTGAATGAGAGTGAGAATGACGAGCAATTGCAGCAGTGTGCATGAGCATCTGCTTTCAGCATGCTTTGCGCATGTTTAGATGCCATTTTCAGCCGTATCGTCTGTCTGTGTGCTGAACTGTGCAAATTTATAATTTTTAAGAAAATTGAGTCGCCCGCCGACTGTAAGATACGATCTGTTATTCGATTTCAGCACGAAAGATCATGGTAACTGTCTTTTGGGACAGGAAAGAGACTTTGTTAGTGGATTTTATGCCAAGAGACACAATAATCAATTCCAATGCTTATTGTGACCTTGAGAAAACTCTGCCGTGCCATACAAGACAAGCGGTGTGGTCTTCCGGCGGCAGGCTTCTTTGAAGTCAAATTTTAAAAATTTTTTGAGTGATATGACAAATGTTTGAACAAAAATGGAAATTATGTAGAAAAGTAGATAAAAGTATGTAGAATATGGGAAAAAATATATTTCAATGATATTTACAGTATTTTTCTTCTTATTAAAAAACGGACCTTATTTAAAAAATAGCCTTCGTATATGTTATAGACCAGGGGTGGGCAAGCAAGAGGTCAGTGGGAGCCGAAATGTAAGTTTTGCAAAATGCATGGGAGCCGATGTTCTGTACTTTTTTATTCTGTACTGCAGTTTTGTACCGCAATTTTATTATATAATATAAATATTATATAAATCAAATATTGAATTTTTTAATAAACATATCTTCACAAAATTGTGGAAATAAAATTGTAAAAATAATAATAAAAAGCAGAAATTAACACTTTCAGCAAGAGCCGCATTTAACTGTAAAAGAGCTGCAATTGCCAATGGTGGTTATAGACTAAGCGATTAACATGCACATTATTCATAATGCCCAATCATTATGAATTTCAGATATTGCATAACAACCATATTGCTATTAACCATGCTATTGAATTAAGTACAAACTATAAAACTATTATAAGGGATACGAGATATGAAACGATTGATAGTTAAACCAATTTTAAGCAATGAAATGAACTCAAGATGTCAGGTTCACCTTATATATATGCAGTCACAAGCCAATGAGCAATATAAATTTATACTCGTGTTCATTCATTCAACTATTACCAGTGCTTTTTTTAGGGAAAAAAAGGGTGGTGGAACGCCGTTCCATTGCATTCTGTGACAAAAAAAAAACGCTGACTACTACCATTAAAAACCAAAAGAGCTGAAGATGTAGCTTATATTCTTTTAGATATTTTTACAATTTTCAGTGCACTGAGTATTCACAATTCCACAACGGCAGAGAATTTGCCAATAATGTTATCAAAGAACTGTGTAATATGTGGTCTAAGTTAAAACTGGTACAAGGAAATCCAAACTATCTCAAAATCATGGTTTAGTAGAAAGATTTAATGAAAATATATAAAATATGCTTAGTTCTAACAACATTAACACATGGTCATTTTGTATGCAATCAATGAAAAATCAAAAGAATAATACTGGTATGAACTGCAGATCAATGAGGTCATGTTTGGAGCAAAGTTATAAATTGAACTAAAGAATTTTCTCCCTGACATTATCGACCAACATTAATATAGATAATGATTTATAGACTCATTTTAAAACTAATGACAATGAATTTTTTTATATAATTTATACCAAACATGACAATCCAACAGTTTCCTTTAAGTTGATTTTGATTGATGTATAAATGTGCTAATAATAGTTTTTGCTAACATTAGTTTAATTCATACAGTTGATAATACTTACTTTTAAAAGATCTCATGTCATTTTTAAAATACTATGAAATAATTCAGAAAAACTACATTTTTTTCAATAATTGTTTGAGTTTTGTTTTAAAAAATCAAATTGCCCAAAGGGAATTTAGCTGTATTCATAATGTCTGGTCAATTTAATAAATTAGTCAATATTTATCAGACTGCGTGGCAATTTTAGTCATTACTCATAATGGCTGGACATTGTAAACAATGCATTATTAATCACTTGATCCACTGAGAAACAATGCATATATATATTTTGTTTTTCTCAGTGACTATATACACACAGGGTTTCCAATAAAGGTGATAAAACTATAAATTGACACAAAATTATAACTACAAAAGATAATACAGTGCTACTTCTTTTATTTTATAGCACCGGTATATTTAGTAGTATTACACATGAAAAACATCATTTAAATGGTCCTCATGACTGAATTTCATAGCTTGAATATGATTAACCAATTTTTGATAACTGTGGCATGTAAATCAAGCTTTATTTTGCCAATAACTAAACAATGTTTACTTTAATGTCATAAACAATTCATGAGTTGTTGAAATAAATTTAATTTAATTTAAGTATTTTAATATGAGCCCATAAGAATACTCCAACAGAGGTAAGTTGCAAGATTATGATGGCCTGTTAGCAGCTGCATTTCTCAAAATAATCCAATGTTAGCATGTTGGCAATTACTCCATCAAAATTTTTTACTAAATGATATATCTCGTGTCCTCTTGGTCAGTTATGTTGATCATAAATCAAACAAAATACATAAAACATTCACTAAATTGAGCAAGAAATTTGATAATAAGTTTTAATAATTTCAACATGTTAAAGAACTGCAAATCTTCCCACGAAAATTTGCCAAACACTACACAACAAATATGTAAATTACCCGACAATCAAATAAAAACTAAGATGCCTGTGATCATTTAAAATTGTATTACAATTAATGAAAAATCCTCTATATATACACTGTATTTTATGGCATATAAAATCAACTTTTGTACGAAAACAAAAAAAACAGTAAAAACATTGCTCTGCATTTATATATGATCAATATGCTAAAGAATTCTCCAAATAGCCTTTAGTACACTATAGTTAACGTTTATCTAGCCTAAATATTTAATGAAAATATTATTAGTTAAACATATTATTATTACATTGATTTTAACCAGAATACAGTAAAAAAAAAATTTCAGGACTGACTGTTAAAGGCTCAAGATGAATTAAATGCACTAAATATTTCCAAGCTGAAATTAGGATGCATCTTATATACCATAAAATACGGTTTATAAAATGCATCCTGATTTCAGAATGAAATATTTAGGAAAAGTGTGTATAAGTGTAAATATATACCATATTTTATGGTATATATATTTATACATAATTACTTTTCTTGTATTGTATTTATACATAATACACTTTTCCTGTATTCTAACACACAAGTTTTAACCATTTTTACTTGTCCAAAGTAGAAATATGTCTTAGAATTGCCTGTATATTTTAAAATTTTCCATTCAATTTAAAACTTATAGTGCATCTTAGAATTGATGACATGATTTGAGAAAATATAGTATATATTAAATAAAACTAAATAATTTATATAAATTAATAAACAATAATTCATATGGGAATAATGAGATAGCTCATTCAGTTAAAATGCACACTAGTCTGAAATATTTGAATTTAATTCAAAGTTGAATCCTCAGAAAATTTTATGGACATTGGCCCAGATCTATCAGATCCACATCCTTTCCCACTGTAAACTTCCAAACCCATGATAGACATGAAGAAAGAACATGTTAATATCTGCATGGCAAACTTTAAAAAAGTATACAATTGTAAAGGATGGCAAAGAAAGTAAACTTGAATATTTCAGAATCAAACAAATTCAACAATATCTTTCTATATTATAACAAATGGGCAATGTCATTCATTTCTCATTCAGCTGTATTAAAGCCAATTTACTAGATAACGTGCCTATTAACACATGCAAATCTAATCACTGCTTTTCTTAAGAAATGAATTAAAAAATATATTACCTCTGATAAACATTCCATGTGATTCAAAGAAAGCGGTAATCCAGTTATTTCTAAAAATTTCAAATTTTTATTCTTGTAGATACAAGCTGATAAAGATTTAATCAACTTAGTCAATAATTCTGGTTTAAGGATTATTGGAAGTCCTTTTAACACACTATATTTTTCTAAGAAGAATCTGTAAATATTACAATCTGAAAACAGTAAAAGACAAAAATAAAAATAAAAAAATGATTATTTTACAGATTACTAAATTAAATTTTTTTTTTAAATCAAATTTAAGTAATTTACCACTAATATTTCCTGACATTTTTTTTAAATATTCACTATGCAGAACAATCCCTTCTAAACTTTCATTCATTTCAATGGCTTCGAGTAAAGGAGTCCACACGGACGAATCTAAAAGGTCAAGAGTGCAATGCAATCTTCCCTTATCAAGTTGTATTTTCTTCATGCATCTAGAAGGACACAATTTATAGTAGAAACACAGAGAAATGTAGTCATTTCGGAAGTCTTCACCCCTCGTGCATTTATTTTCGACATTAGACGGTGGAGTCATAACTTTTGTCTGTGTAAAAAAAAAAAAACAAATTCTTATTAAATACCTAAAAATTATATTTTTTTGTACGTAGAGATGAACCACGTGTTTTCAGTACACTCTACCGTCATTTCGACGCCATGTTTAAATGGAAACGAGCAAAACATGCAGCATGTCCTAGTTGATACAGAATTTAAATTTTTTTACATCGAATTTTAAGGATTATTTTAAACATAATGTACACTCTCTTAATGCAGATAAATTGGAAATGTTAGCATCAGGCCACACAATAAATAGTGATGTTTCTGTTTCCAACATGGCGTCGAAAAGATGGTAGAAATAGTTAACTGAAAAACAATAATTAGTTAATTTTTAAAATAATAAAAATTTTTGAATCTTTATTATGTACCTTTATGATACACAAACAAATGAAGTTAGCTTTATAATTTCACTAATATACATTATATTTTTAACTATTCACTCGCTTTTAATTCTATAACAGTTTAAAAAATAAAATAAATAAATTGGGAACAAGAATTAGTATGAATGAATTATAAACTTTTGTGTATGATTTTATAATATAATAATAATTAAATATTGTAATTGCTATAATAATGTAAACAAACAACCAACCTAATTTTCCGGCATGCGTTAATTTCAAATTTAAAAACGTAAACATCAGACAGCGCCCTCTTATGGTGAAAAACTGTCTCCATTTTAATTTAAAATATTTTTGAAATACAAATATAAGACTGGTGTTAGCAAGAAAACAGTACATATCTATGGGAATATAATGATTATAATAACTGAATTATGATTAAAATATGTGAAGTTTGAAGAAGTTTGCTAATTTATATAACATTTTCAATAAGCGCAGTCGTCGTATAACACGTCCCTGATGGAAAACGAACAAGCTTGAACCTCGAGATGTGTTCCCTAAGCAAAACATTATGTCAGAAGTGGGGTTCGAACCCACGCCCTCACTCCAGGACCAGAGCTAAAGTCTGGCGCCTTAGACCACTCGGCCATTCTGACACGATTTTTGAAACATTTCGTTATCAAGTAGAAAAGTGATCATTATCGATATTGTCATTCTCGTTTTCGATTAAATTAGTTTAAACCCCTGCAGAGGTGCGAAGTCGTTAGAGTAGAGGAACAACGCCTAGCGAGCGAGCGAACGTGCGTAATAAATGTTAATATTGGTAATGGCCTGGCGGTGTTTTCCATACTATCTTCACATGTGTAGATTTAACTATAGACGTTTTTCCATAGAAATTCGTCGCGACCGCAATCTGCTCGACAAGTTTCTCATGCGTTCCATGTGGAGGCAACCTACCATTAATTTAAAACTATCCACACCTCGTGTTTTTTTATACAGGTTAGAATTAATTTGGATATACAGTAATTCAAAATTGTGATTACATCCATGTATAATTGTCTGGGGAAAGGATGCTTTATAATCTACAGTGCCTGCCGGATGGCCGAGCGGTCAAGGTGGCAGCCTACCGCTTCGACTGAAATAATTAAATCCTAAATATGCGGCCGGATGGCCGAGCGGTCAAGGTGGCAGCCTATAGATCTGAGGGACCCGGGTTCGAATCCGAACGGGTCGAAAAATTCCCAAGAAATTTTCGGAGGTGGTCCGTTCGGATATGTAGGGCTCCGTCCTTCACCACCCGGCAGCCCAATTGTGGGCCTGGCCGAATCCATAATGGGCTTGAAAAAAGAGGCCCTCTTAGTGCCCACAGGGCGGAAAGAGTTAATTAAAAAATAAATGATGGAACAAAGAACGTATCAATGAAAAATGCTACAAAAGGAGCGCCTACAAAAAGGATTTCTTTCGAAAACAGGCTCCAATTTACTTATTGGCTAGGCAAAAGAAACATAGATAAATCCAGGTCACCAGACCATTGAGTAGCGACCAGTGATTAGCTTTCAATAAATTTACTCACTCATATACAAGTGTTCTCTTTGAATAAATGAACTGTATGTTTCTTGTTTGTTTTCTTTCCTTGTTTATCTTACATTTTAAAAAGTGATATAGTGAAACTTACGTATAGAAATTCGTTCAAGACATCTGTAAATGAAAACTAACTAAAATGACATTTAAAACACGTGAAAGACTGCAAAAGGATAATTAATATTAAATAATTAAACAATTTGCAGTTATTATAAATAACACATTTTATAAGATTGTGCATTGTTGTGTCGTGTTTTTTAGTGTTAAACCTTTAAATGATAAGAATTATTAAATTAGTATCAATTATTTCGATTGAATTATAAGTTACAGAAAGAAACAATTCTGTTTCATTCGAGTTATTAGCAATTTCATAACATGTCAGTTTTGTCATTCTTATTATTTTTATTTGAGATTCGTCGATTGGCATAACATTTCTGTCTTTAATGAATCTTCCACAATAACTTTATTCGGATCAGATGCGGAACGTTCATTTGTCCATTTGATGATGGAAACGTAGAGAATAAAAGAATATATATCTAACCATTTTAAATCTGTAAGAAATGGTAGAGTTCAGAAAATCGAATCATCAGTTGAACAGGGTGACAAAATTAATATTAGATCAGTCAATTTCGAACGGTTGCTGAAGAATAGAGACAAACATTCGTTCCATAGATTGTTGCGAAGATTTTCAATGGTTATTTTCTCTAACGAATTAAAAACATTTACCGATTCATCTTTTAAATTGTTCTAGAAATATAAATAGCGTATATAAAATAGCTCGAGAAGGCGAATATTTTGAAAGTAACGTCCAATCAAATAGATTTTCACGTATTGAAAATTGTTCACCTTCAGTACTCCCACGTGCTTCTCCGATAAACTTAATAGCTGAAAAATTCCTTCTTCAAATGTAAACCCTTTGTTACTTTTATCAATAGTCATCGACTTAAGTTGTGAAAGTTTCCTGTTCTTCAGTTGGAAAAAGAANATGACATGATTTGAGAAAATATAGTATATATTAAATAAAACTAAATAATTTATATAAATTAATAAACAATAATTCATATGGGAATAATGAGATAGCTCATTCAGTTAAAATGCACACTAGTCTGAAATATTTGAATTTAATTCAAAGTTGAATCCTCAGAAAATTTTCTGGACATTGGCCCAGATCTATCAGATCCACATCCTTTCCCACTGTAAACTTCCAAACCCATGATAGACATGAAGAAAGAACATGTTAATATCTGCATGGCAAACTTTAAAAAAGTATACAATTGTAAAGGATGGCAAAGAAAGTAAACTTGAATATTTCAGAATCAAACAAATTCAACAATATCTTTCTATATTATAACAAATGGGCAATGTCATTCATTTCTCATTCAGCTGTATTAAAGCCAATTTACTAGATAACGTGCCTATTAACACATGCAAATCTAATCACTTCTTTTCTTAAGAAATGAATTAAAAAATATATTACCTCTGATAAACATTCCATGTGATTCAAAGAAAGCGGTAATCCAGTTATTTCTAAAAATTTCAAATTTTTATTCTTGTAGATACAAGCTGATAAAGATTTAATCAACTTAGTCAATAATTCTGGTTTAAGGATTATTGGAAGTCCTTTTAACACACTATATTTTTCTAAGAAGAATCTGTAAATATTACAATCTGAAAACAGTAAAAGACAAAAATAAAAATAAAAAAATGATTATTTTACAGATTACTAAATTAAATTTTTTTTTTAAATCAAATTTAAGTAATTTACCACTAATATTTCCTGACATTTTTTTTAAATATTCACTATGCAGAACAATCCCTTCTAAACTTTCATTCATTTCAATGGCTTCGAGTAAAGGAGTCCACACGGACGAATCTAAAAGGTCAAGAGTGCAATGCAATCTTCCCTTATCAAGTTGTATTTTCTTCATGCATGTAGAAGGACACAATTTATAGTAGAAACACAGAGAAATGTAGTCATTTCGGAAGTCTTCACCCCTCGTGCATTTATTTTCGACATTAGACGGTGGAGTCATAACTTTTGTCTGTGTAAAAAAAAAAAAACAAATTCTTATTAAATACCTAAAAATTATATTTTTTTGTACGTAGAGATGAACCACGTGTTTTCAGTACACTCTACCGTCATTTCGACGCCATGTTTAAATGGAAACGAGCAAAACATGCAGCATGTCCTAGTTGATACAGAATTTAAATTTTTTTACATCGAATTTTAAGGATTATTTTAAACATAATGTACACTCTCTTAATGCAGATAAATTGGAAATGTTAGCATCAGGCCACACAATAAATAGTGATGTTTCTGTTTCCAACATGGCGTCGAAAAGATGGTAGAAATAGTTAACTGAAAAACAATAATTAGTTAATTTTTAAAATAATAAAAATTTTTGAATCTTTATTATGTACCTTTATGATACACAAACAAATGAAGTTAGCTTTATAATTTCACTAATATACATTATATTTTTAACTATTCACTCGCTTTTAATTCTATAACAGTTTAAAAAATAAAATAAATAAATTGGGAACAAGAATTAGTATGAATGAATTATAAACTTTTGTGTATGATTTTATAATATAATAATAATTAAATATTGTAATTGCTATAATAATGTAAACAAACAACCAACCTAATTTTCCGGCATGCGTTAATTTCAAATTTAAAAACGTAAACATCAGACAGCGCCCTCTTATGGTGAAAAACTGTCTCCATTTTAATTTAAAATATTTTTGAAATACAAATATAAGACTGGTGTTAGCAAGAAAACAGTACATATCTATGGGAATATAATGATTATAATAACTGAATTATGATTAAAATATGTGGAGTTTGAAGAAGTTTGCTAATTTATATAACATTTTCAATAAGCGCAGTCGTCGTATAACACGCCCCTGATGGAAAACGAACAAGCTTGAACCCCGAGATGTGTTCCCTGAGCAAAACAATATGTCAGAAGTGGGGTTCGAACCCACGCCCTCACTCGAGGACCAGAGCTTAAATCTGGCGCCTTAGACCACTCGGCCATTCTGACACGATTTTTAAAACACTTCGTTATCAAGTAGAAAAGTAATCATTATCGATATTGTCATTTTCGTTTTCGATTAAATTAGTTTAAACCCATGCAGAGGTGCGACGTCGTTAGAATAGAGGAACAACGCCTAGCGAGCGAGCGAAGATGCGTAATAAATGTTAATATTGGTAATGGCCTGGCGGTGTTTCCCATACTATCTTCACGTGTAGATTTAACTATAGACGTTTTTCTATAGAAATTCGTCGCGACCGCAATCTGCTCGACAAGTTCCTCATGCGTTCCATGGCAACCTACCATTAATTTAAAACTATCCACACCTCGTGTTTTTTAATACAGGTTAGAATTAATTTGGATATAATTGTGATTACATCTATGTGTAATTTTCTGAGGAGAGGATGCTTTATAATCCACAGTGCCGGGCGGATGGCCAAGGCGGCAGCCTACCGCTCTGGAGACCTGGGTTCGAATCCGAACGGGTCGAAAATTCCCCAGGAATTTTTCGGGGGGTTGGTTCGTTCGGATATTCCTGGCCTCGCCACCCGGCAGCCCCATTGTGGGCCTGGCCAAACCTATGGATTTTGCAAAAAGAGGCCCTTTTAGTGCCCACAGGGCGGAAAGAATAAATGATGGAACAAAGAAGGTATCAACGAGAGATGCTTCAAAAAGGATTAAGGATATTCGAAAACAGGCTCCAATTTACTTGTTTGCTAGGCAAAAGAAACATAGATAAATCCAGGGCAGCGATGTTTCTTATTTGTTTTCTTTCCTTGTTTATCTTACATTTTAAAAAGTAATATAGTGAAACTTACGTACAGAAATTCGTTCAAGACATCTGTAAATGAAAACTAACTAAAACTACATTTAACACACGTGAAAGACTGCAAAAGGACAATTAATATTAAGTAATTAAATAATTTGCAGTCATTATAAATAACACATTTTATAAGATTGTGCATTGTTGTGTTGTGTTTTTTAGTTTTAAACCTTTAAATGATAAGAATTATTAAATTAGTATCAATTATTTCGATTGAATTATAACTTACAGAAGAAGACAATTCTGTTCCATTCGAGTTATTGGCAATTTCATAACACGTCAGTTTTGTCATTCTTATTATTTTTATTTGAGATTCGTCGATTGGCATAACATTTCTACCTTTAACTGAATCTTTCGCAATAACTTCATTCGAATCAGATGCGGAACGTTCATTTGTCCATTTGATGATGGAAACGTAGAGAATAAAAGAATATATATCTAACCATTTTAAATCTGTAAGAAATGGTCGAGTTCAGAAAATCGAATAATTAGTTAAACAGGGTGACAAAATTAATATTTGATTAGTCAATTTCGAACAGTTGCTGAAGAATAGAGACAAGCATTCGTTCCATGGATCGTTGCGAAGATTTTCAATGGTTATTTTCTCTAACGAATTAAAAACATTTACCGATTCATCTTTTGAATCGTTCTTGAAATATAAATGGCGTATATAAAATAGCTTGAGAAGGCGAATATTTTGACAGTAACGTCCAATTAAATAGATGTTCACGTATTGAAAATTGTTCACCTTCAGTTCTCCCACGTGCTTTCCTGATAAACATAACAGCTGAACAATTCCTTCTTCGAATGTAAACTCTTTGTTACTTTTATCAATAGTCATCGACTTAAGTTGTGAAAGTTTCCTGTTCTTTAGTTGGGAAAAGAAATAAATTTGTTAGATATAACGGATTTCCGAAATTTTCTTGTACGTAAAGATATAACATAGCTAATTCGTATTTTTCCTACATTTATCTGCATTATTAGAGAGGTTGCGGCCGACGTTTTCAATGCGAAAACGTGTACGTCGAACGTTCTGCGCCGCATTCCTGTAAGCGTAGAAGTTTGACAATGGCGTTTGGAACGTCGAGCATGATTCCACTGACTTTACAAATGCCATTGTCAAACGTCTAAGCTTACAGGAAGGCGGCGCTGAACGTCCGACCTACACGTTTTCGCGTTGAAAACGTCTGCCGCAACCTCTCTATTGGAAGAAATTCTAAGACGTACGAAAGTCCCTTTGATGCCACAACTGTGTCGATTACTTTTAAAAGTTTGAGATATTGCGATGAGTTTTTTCTCATTTGTCGGCTTGATGGTACAAGAAACGAAGGCCCTTATATGTAGTGTAGCAAAATGATAACTTTAAACTTTGTAGCAGAGAACAATGTCTTCCAATAACTTCAATTACAGTGTGTATATAATCACTGCACATTGTATTCTAAGCGTGGATAATGGGTATAATGTTTTCCGAATTTTTTTATTCACGTGTCTAACAACTGAATAGAGACTGGTTTTCCATATAAGACCTTGGTGGAGCATCTTTTCTCGGCAGACAGCACATATATATCGTTGCATTAATAATTTAAACTGTGAATCCAATACTAATTTATTGAATTAGATCATTTATTTATAAACTCTTAATTTAATAGAAAGTATTCAAGTATATATAAAACACAATTTTAGCTCAAGACGAAAGACGCTATCCTGGTCGCTATGGAAATCTGCAAGCAAATTTTATACCAAGTAATTAGACAAATAATAATCGATCAACGTGTTGCCAGTATCTGGAAAATAATTTTCATTACTCGGTAAGAATCAGTTGCGAGCAAGTGACTATATCATAGAACATTGTACTCCTGCTCAGGCTTTCATAAGTAAGCCAGAGAACAATATACCTGTCAGCATGTTCTTCATTTTCCACAATTTGACAAAAACTTGAAAGAGAAAACTAATAGTTTAGTTTGAACTAATCAATCATCAATATATATTATAAAGGTAAGTGTATAATGTGCGTGCCGCTAAAACTCAAAAACGAGTCCCGGTACGATCAAGGGAGTTGTTATATGGTGTGGTAGCCCTCTATCCCCCATCCATGAAGAAGGTTCCCGTTTTTACCCGAAGGGCGTGCTGTTGAAGATATAAGGGCTGGAAGTTTCGCCCTCTAGAAATTTCTAGAACAGTCCAGAACATTCGAGAGTATTCGAGAGCTTTCCACAGCATTCCAGAGTTGAAATTTGAAACACGGTTAGGAGTTGAAAGTTGAAATTTGGTACACGGTTAGGGTACGTCACGAGAACGCACACTAAGAAGGGATTTTTCGAAATTCCTTTCCACGGGGGAGAGGGACAGGATTAAGGCTTAACACTTTCATCAACAATGGAAGTGTTAAGTAACAATGAAAGTGTTATGTAACAATGGAATTGTTAACACTTTCTTGAGTGTCTCTTCGTCCCTCACACAGGCATAAGTGGCACATAATTTAGTCTTTCGTTTTGTATTTATAAAAAAAAATAGTGTTAAATAATAAATTTTAATAGGCCATGGTGAGGTTTAGACTTGTGACTAAAACATAATGTACGAGATGTCTTTCCTCCATCAAATATAAACAGACTGTATAGAAAGACGAGAGTTAACTGTAGCTTGTTTTATATAGGCCTATAGCCTAAATAGAGCCTTGTTTGAGGCCTCGTACGAATGAGGCCCAGGCTAAATGACTCTGTGATAGACCGTTATTTTATTATATGCTTTATTATATTATATTAAAATAACACAACATCGTTCATAAAAAAAAAAAAAAAACGATTAGAGTAACTCAGTAATAAATAAAAGAAGACATTCCAGACGATGAGAAAGTGCGAAGGTGACTTAAACAAACTGTGTGTTTTTGGACTTTAAACGTCAATTAAACATGGAATGAGAGAAGTTATTTTTTATTATAAAAGGCAATGAAATAATTTTACAGTAAATTTTAAAATGTTTAGATAAGTTACTGGAATGAGGATGGTGGAGTGATCTAATATCAGGGTGGAATGACCACTCTGACGGAGATAAATACTCAGTAGGGCGTCAGTAAGTTACGAGGTCAGTGGGCTGAATTATCTAATAAATCTTAAAATTATGAGAAAATTTAGAAAAAAAAAAATATATTAAATTTATTTTTATTTTGTATCGGTAGAAAAAC